TGACTGGACCAGCCCTCCCACCGGCGTCAGCGTGTCCGATGGAGAGGGACGGTGCCCCCAGGAGCTGGCCCTGCCCGTCCATGCGTCCCCGCTCCCAGGCTGCCTGCGTGGCTTCTGTCTGTGCTCCAGCCCCTCCCCCACTGTTCCCCGCCCCCGCCCCCCACCCCCCTGGTCCTCTGGGGACGCAGCCACCTCTTTGGACGGCTTCCTGAGCACGTCACCCACGCCGCCGCCGCTCCGCAGCCCGTGGCTCAGCACGGTGACGATGCACATCAGCAGGGTCTCGCACGTGTGCTCCTTGTCCTGCTCCGGCTCCTCGGCCGGGAGCAGCGCTGCGAACGCAGACAGAGCGAGAGAGAAGGAAATGAAGGCCCGAGCGCCACACGCCTCCTTCTGAAAGGCGGAAGTCCGGGCACTTCTGTTTTCATCACTGCCCCCTGCTCACTTCTCCAGCCAGGCCAGACCTGCCCTCCCACCTCGGAATCTAAACACTCCCCGTCCTTCTCAGGGGTAAACTCCAGCCCAGCGCTGAGCAGGCGTCTGACCTCAGAGAAGCTGCTCCTACCCTGAGCCACAGCCTCTCCCCTCTCAGCTGAGGGCAAGGCCACCAGGCTCCTCACTGCGGTGTTGTAGGGGCTGCACCTGGCAGCATGCGAGAGCGGCTCCTCTGATTAAACCGCTTTATGCTGGAGGCTGCCCACTGCTTTTTAAAAGCAGTGACCTTTCTACCTTCATTCTTTTCCCCAGCTGCAGAGAGAAGGGCCTTGCTGAAACACACATCTCATCATATCACTCCCCTTTCAGCAACTTCCAATCATCCGTTGGATGAAATGTAACCTCCCTAGCCTGACATGTAAGACCTTTCGTGATCTGACCCTTTGCCAACCTGGCTGGCTTCATTTCTTGCTATTCTTCTTCCTCATAAACCATATCTCCCTATACCTGCTGTATTCTACTCCAAGCCTTCAGACGGGCTGCTCCCTCTAACAGAATGCCTGCCCCTCCGCCTTCGCCGGATAGTCCGCTGTTTTGGTTTAGCTGTCACTTCCTGGTGATACTCTCACTGCACTATGAGGCTGGGTGCCTCTCTTCCGTGTTCCATCCTTATTCCCGGCATTCAGCAGCTCTCAGGTGACCCCACCTGCCCGCCTGCCACCCCCATCCCCCTGTCACTGTATCTTAGAATACAACGGCCCCTGGCAGACAGTGGGCCCCCAGGAAGTCCCGGCTGAATCCATGAAGCCGACCTCTCTTCTCACAGAGCCTTCTCCTCCCTGTCTCCCTCGGCTCCCCCAGCCTTTCCTGGCGGCCCCCGGCCTCACGTCTGGGCCTCCCGAGGGGCCTGGCACTAACGCGGGGCTGCAGGCTACGGGGTCCTACCTTCCTGGGGTGTGGGAGAGGAGCAGTTCTCCCCAGACCCCACCCTGCACACGTCCGAGAACAGGAACTCGCTGGCCAAGCTCTCGCCGGCCTCTGGGAGAGAGAAGGACACTGTGATGCACAACCTCGCACAGACGCCACCCCACAGTCCTGCCCGCACGGTCAAGGCGCAGACGCCCTGGCACGTCTGCTTGGTGACCTGGGCGGGGGCTGGGGATCCGCATGTCGGCAGCACCTCTCTCCCCGGAAACGCCCACGGCTGAGACTGACCCGCACGGCCGAACGCGCAGACTCGGCCAGGCTCACACCGAGTCGGCACCGGGCCTGGCAGCGGCACCGGCGAAAACCCAGGTGGGACCCGAGAGGCTCAGGGCGCCGTGCCCTTCGGTCGGGGACGATCGGGGACGCCCTCCACCCGCAGAGCCCGGCGCACCTGGGAGGGCGGTGTCGTTGGGCAGCGGGTCCACCTCCAGCAGGAAGTCGGCCTTGAAGAAGAGGTAGCCCACGATGGAGAAGAGGTAGACCAGGATGAGCGCCAGCACCGCCGTCAGGATGATGGAGCGCCCGTTGCGGGTGACGCTCTTGATGACGTTGAGCAGGGTCTCCTCTCTGTACACCAGGTCAAAGAGCTGCAAGACGAATGGGAGACGACGGGGTGCTTACAGGGCGCCCCCCCTCCATGGGACGCACACCAACGGACAGGACTCGCCCTCAGGCAGCTCAGAAGCATCATGTGGTTACCCTGCTCTTCCCACCTGCCCGTCTCCACAGCGAAGGGCGAGACGGTGAAAACGGGGGAGATGCCCAGAGAAGGGAGGCGGGAAACAGCAGCACTGCCAGGGGGACATTCAGTCTGGAGGTGCTGGACATAGGGCACAGGCTGCACCAGTGAGACTGGGCGGGGAGGGGGGGCACCGGGGCAAGTGGGGCCCTTAAAAGGAAGCGAGGTGCAGAAGGCAATGTCGATGGGGGTCAAAGGTTACCCAGCAAGCGAGAGCCATTTCGAATGCCGGACGGTGACACTGCCCGGTCACGGAGGAGACAGGTGACCTTTCCCTCCCCACCCACAGCATCTCCGACTTTAAAGCACAGAATGCCCGGCTTCACGAAGGAAAAAGGTTCTCCTACAGAAAGTGACCCGTGTCCCACGGAGAACACGGCGAAACCACAGGAAAGCACAGAGAAGAGCAATACATCGCACGTCACCCCACTATCCACCCACGTCAGCTGGACAAGCTATTTCATCTCATGACGTTTGGGAAAAAGTCACACATGCACATGCATGTTTACGGACACGTTAACCATCACACACGGCAATCTGAACCCGTTCACGCCGCCGCCGACCACCCCGGGCCTCTGAGGAGAGGATGGGATCAGAAACATCCTCCTTGGCAAGTGTTGGCTGAGTCCGAGGAATAAAGAGCCCGGCCGGCCCGGCTCCGTGGCTGAGCGTCGACCCAGGAACCAGGAGGTCACGGTTCGATTCCCGGTCAGGGCACATGCCCGGTTTGTGGGCTCGATCCCCAGTAGGGGGCATGCAGGAGGCAGCCGATCAGTGATTCTCTCTCATCATTGATGTTTCTCTCTCTCTCTCCCTCTCCCTTCCTCTCCCTTCCTCTCTAAAAATCAGTAACAACATATTTTAAAAAAAGAAATAAAGAAACACAGAGGCAACACCTCCTGATCCGGGTTGGGGGCACCGTCTGTTATGAAAAGTAAAAGGCGGATCTGCTACGTCAGTGTGACCTGCCCTCCCTGACTCCCCTGGGCTCCTGTGGGCTGACCGGCCCCCCCTTGGGGGGTGGGCTCCTTCCCAGATCCCGCCAACACTGCGCACAGAGGCACTACCTCCTTAGAGCAGGCACAGCAATCACAATCGAAAGGACGGACGGATCTGTGTCCTGGCCAGTATGCTCAGTGGTTAGAGCATCCGTCCCCGCCCCCCTCAACCCCACCCCAGACCGAAGGGTCGAGGGTTCGATTCCCGGTCAAGGGCATGTACCTGGGTTGCAGGTTCAATCCCTGGCCCCAGTCAGGGCATGTGCGGGAGGCAACCTCTGGATGCGTCTCTCTCATGTCAATTTCTGTCCCTCTCTCTGTTCCTTTAAAAACCACGGGAAAAATGCCCTCGGGAGAGGGCTAAAACCAAGCGGAGGGGCCGGGGGTGAGGGGCCCGGCCCTCCCTCCGGTTTGCACGGGCGCCCGCGGGCTCACCAGCAGGCTGTAGAAGAACTCGTGCACGAAGAGCCCGAGGGCGCAGATGAGCAGGTAGAGCAGGTGGTAGAGGAACTCCACGTCCAGCACCATGGCGCGGTAGCCCCGTGTGAACGTGCCGCAGTTGCCCACGAAGCTCATCAGGAAGATGATCTTGTTGCAGACCTGGGGGCAGGAGAGGGGCCGGCACTTAAGCACGGCTGTGCCCCCCCCTGCCCCCCCCCTCTTTTGCACCGAGTGCCCCACCAAACCCACGGGGAACCGCCCTGCGGGCCGAAGTCATTTCGTGACTTTGCTTTTCAGGCACATCCCCAGCGACGTGGTCGTCAAATGACTGCGGGGCCACGGTGACCAAGTGGCGTTGGAATGCCACAAAACCCGGCGTGAGCACAGACCGAAATGACGGCGCTCAAAATGAATCATTTCCGACACCCTTACGGGACCTAGTCAGACAGCCCTGCGACCGGCAGAGGGAAGGCGTTTTCTGAAACTGTCGCGTCAGAGGCGGGACAGAGCGAAGTTTAATAAGAACGAGGAGGTTCCTGCTTCCCCCTCGCTCCCAATTTCACGGCGAAGGTGGACCTTTTCTTGGGGAAAGAAAAGGAAGGGACTTTGGGGTGCGTTCTATCCCCTGCCTCCTCTTCTGGGAATAATTCTTCCTTTTCCTCTGGGGGTGCAGCCCTGACCCGGTGTCGGCCCTGGAGGTCCGGGGGGGCTCCATCGGCCAATCAGAGGACTGCACCCCGGCAGCAATGGCTGGTCCAGCGACAGGCAAGGACCGGATGGGGCCAGGGACACCTATCGAGGTCTTTCCTGGGACGGCGGCAAAGACAACCCCGTGCCTTGCCCTGGCCTTGACCCTGACAGAAGTCTGTCCTGCCGCCCCTGGAGCCTCTGGGAACCTCCAGGCCGGCAGGGGAAGGCCGAGGAATTCTGCAGGGAAAGCCCTCCCAGCGTTTCCCATGCGGACTTGACCCCCGAGGGCCTGATCCTGGCATTCAGAGCCGGGTCACCCGTGCGGGGCCAGGTCCTGCACGTCACACGCCTCTCCACGCGCTGACACACCTTCCTTCCGCCTCGCCTGAGCCGTCAGCTTGAAGCGGCTCCCTCTCCGCAGGCCCTGCTGCCCTGCACCGCATGCCCCTCTGGGGACGGCTACTGGTGCACGGAATTACCCAGCACCTTGCTTTGCCATCTCACGCCCATCTTTGCCAGTGACCTCAGCTTCCTTACACGCTCGGGCGGAAACCTCTGGAAGGCGGTGCCTCCCATACCAACTCTCCTCCTTTTGCCTGGAACCCTCCAGCCCATCTTCCACCTCACACCAGCCGCCTCCGCCTCCTAAGATTCTCCCAGCATGCAGCTGGCTTCCACACTTCCGTTGTATGGAGACAGCAGTCCCAAACGTCACCACGGACTTTGAAACCTCGATGCTCTCGCAACCGCGCTCCCCGCGCCCCATGTGTGGCTACCCTCTCGCCTCTCCTGCTCCGCGTGGCCTCACAGAGCGGGATGCTGTGTTCATATTCGATCGCTGGGCTGACTGGCTGGAATCTCCAGTCCCAGCAAACCCGTGACCAGATCGGCAAGACTAACTGACACCTCAGCGGCACCGCCCTTCGTGCCGGACTCCCGGGAGGCCAGTCCCCGAGCGCGCGATCGCCGGGCCGCCACCCGGACCGAACCGAGAGGCCCACCTGGGCCCCGCCGGCGCCCGCGGTTTTACCAGCCGACCCGGCGCTCCCTTCCCGCACCGCAAGCACAGGCCGAGGTCCTGGGACCAGGGGGAAGGCGTGCCGAGGCGCACGTCCACAGAGCAGGGCGGCGAGGGCCCGGACTCACGTTGAAAGCGCCCAGGAGGAACAGCGTGGGCTGCAGCCCCACGGAGAAGATGAGCCGCAGGATCGTGGACGCGATCAGCGCCCGGATGCCGTGGGGCTTGGGGAGCGCGATGACGATGGCCAGCGAGACGAGCATGGCCGTCCACAGCAGCCCCGACCAGTGCGGCTCCAGCGTCCCTGCAAGACAGGCGGGTCACGGAGCAGAGCTCGCGGCGAGTGCAGGGACAGGCAGCGTGGGCTCAACGGTACCTTCTCCAGCCACCTCTCCGGCCTGTGGTCACAGCGCTCGGCTCCAATTCCCGGCCCCGGACAGAACCCTCCCACCCATGTCTTCCCTCCCCACCTTCACTCGTGCTCCTTCCCCTGGGAGACCCTGTCCCGGTCCCCTTAGGTCTTAGCTCGGATGTCACCCCTTGGGAAGCAGCCCCACCCGTCTCCCCAGGAACCCGGTGCTGCTCTTTCAGCTTTTGTCCCCTGGGCACCCACACGGGACAGCTTTTCTAGTGCTCGCGTGGCATCCTACAGGCGCCCTCACGTGCTTGTTCAAGAAATAAGACAGCCCTGGCTGGCGTGGCTCAGTGGACAGAGCGTCAACCTATGGACCGAAGGGTCCCGGGTTCGATTCCGGTCAAAGGCATATACCTCAGTTGCAGGCTTGATCCCCGGCCTTGGTCAGGGTGCATATGGGAGGCAACCAGTCGATATGTCTCTCTCACATCGATGTTTCTCTCTCTCTGTCTCTCCCCTCTGTCCCTCTCTCTCTAAAAAAAGTCAATGGAAAGTATCCTCGGGTGAGGATTAACAACAAAAAAGAAAGAAATAAAGTCAGTCAGATTGCATCACACTTCCCAAGGGAAAGGAGACGGGAACCCTAAATGTCTAATTTCTATGGAAGGCACACGGGGGGGGGGGGAGTGCAGGCCCCTCCCTGCATCAGGGTCTTCGGGGGGGGGGGCGCAGAGGGGGGGACCGTCCACATCGCCAGCGTCTGCTACAATCCGACCACCCCTGCGCGGACCCGGCTGTCTCCCCTGCTACTGTGCTATTTAGAGCCCCACGGGCCGGCTTGGTTACATAACGGGCGCCAACGCGGCTAAAAATACAGCTCCGCATGCTCATGAGGCCGTTTCAAACGCCGCCACATCCTGCGTCCCCTTCGGCCGCAAGCGAGAGGCCCGGGACGCAGGCCGCCGACATCCGTCCACTCCAGGAGCAGGGGTGGGGGACCTGCGGACGGAGCCTCGCAGTGCCTGCCTGCCCGGCTCTGCCCGCACGAGCTGTGTGGCTCGGGGTCAGTGTCTCACCTTCTCTGACACGGTTTCCCCACAGACACGGGAGGCGGCTAAGCTTTCTCATGGGGGCGCCACGTGCCCGCCCTTCCTGTCCATGAGCACGGGCAGGGATTGCCACCTACACCCGCGGGAAAGGGGCCACCTCGTCCTGTCTGAGGGGGGCCCTGCGACCCCACGTGCTGCCTGGGTACGTCCAGGGGTCGGAGCCGAGGTGCAGGCCGCGGCCGCCCCGCCGCTCTCCCCGGGGCCGCCCTGAATGCGAAGGCAGGTACCTCCCCGGGCGCCGCGGAACGGGTAGAAGAAGGCCACCAGCAGGTTCATGAGCACGGCCAGGTTGAAGGAGATGCTGCTCCAGAAGGACATGTTGCGGGCGCACCAGTACAGCACGGGCTGGGCTGCGGGGACGCGGGGGAGCGGGGTCAGCTGGGGGTCCACCCCGCACCCCACCTTACAGGCACCAGTACAGCACGGGCTGGGCTGCGGGGACGCGGGGGAGCGGGGTCAGCTGGGGGTCCACCCCGCACCCCACCTTACAGGGCACCAGTACAGCACGGGCTGGGCTGCGGGGACGCGGGGAGCGGGCAGGTGAGGGGGCGGCTGGGGGTCCACCCCGCACCCCACCTCACAGGCACCAGTACAGCATGGGCTGGGCTGCGGGGACGCGGGGAGCGGGGTCAGCTGGGGGTCCACCCCGCACCCCACCTCACAGGCACCAGTACAGCACGGGCTGGGCTGTGGGGACGCAGGTGAGGGGGCGGCTGGGGGTCCACCCCGCACCCCACCTCACAGGCACCAGTACAGCACGGGCTGGGCTGCGGGGACGCGGGGAGCGGGGTCAGCTGGGGGTCCACCCCGCACCCCACCTCACAGGCACCAGTACAGCACGGGCTGGGCTGCGGGGACGCAGGTGAGGGGGCAGCTGGGGGTCCACCCCGCACCCCACCTTACAGGCACCAGTACAGCATGGGCTGGGCTGCGGGGACGTGGGGAGCGGGCAGGTGAGGGGGGCAGCTGGGGGGTCCACCCCGCACCCCCCACGCTTCACAGCAGTGGGGGGCGTGGCGATTATTCCAGCTGTGCTCCCCACTGGGAGACACCCGTACCCACCTGTGCGCCCTTCCCTGCAACCCGCCGGGAGCCCGACCGACTGACTGACCCGCTGCCGGCGCCGCCTGGACCCACCTCGCAGCTTCTTCTGCCAGTTCATCTCGTTGAAGAGGTCCTCCGAGCGCAGGAAGAAGTCGTTGATCTTGCTGCCCTGCTCGTCGCGCTCGGTGGTGTAGTAGATGCGCAGCTTGGACTCCTTGGTGAGGAACTCGCAGATGCTGGGCACCGGGAAGACGATCTGCTCCATGGTGCGGTCCAGCCGGACGATCTGGGGCGGGGGTGGGGGTGGGGGAGCGTGAGCAGCCCCCTCCGACCGCCCCCCCTCCCCCACGGGGGCCCTGGCGCCATATTCAAGGCGGCGAGCGATACAGACCCAGCGAGGCGTCTCTGACCACACCCCCCCCAGACCGGCGTGTCTCTCAGATCCGTGTCAACCGGGCGGGGTGAGTCCGGCCAGTATGCTCTGACCTCAGACCCGTCAGTTTCACTAACTTATTGAAACTGCTTCGTGCACACGGCCCCCGGGGCTCCAGCCGGGCTGTCTGTGCATCTGTCCCTCCACAAGCAGGGCCCCGGGTCCTGCGTGGCCCCGAGCGTCAGACGCACACGTGGCTGGTGCAGCTGCGGGACCGAGGGCTTAGCTTCGCTGCCCCCGTGCTGAGCGCACACCCGGCTGGCGTAACGGGCAGCGTCCCCCGGCCTGTGGTCCTTCCTCACCCGGCGAACTCGGGTTACTTTTCCTGGACAGGAGCCTAAAGGCCATCGCTGGGCTATCCAGTGATGTCCTACCTCTTGGTGTCACAGACCTAAAACGTGCGAGGCAGGAACGCAGTGCCTGGGGAAGGCCGGGGCAGCGCCCCCTGTTCCTAAACTCGAGTTGCTGGGCCCCAGGTGGACACCTCACAGGTTCTCTTCACTTGCCCAGCCTGGCTCAGCCCCCAGAGAGGAGGGAGCGAGGTCAGGACTGTTCGAACCCTAAGACACCGTGTGAGTCACACCTGGGGGCAGAGATTTAAAGGGAATGGGGGGGGTGTACAATGGGGGCCTGGCCTGTGTCTGCGTCCCCTGCAGAGTCCGGAGGAGTCGGGTGAGGCCGGCCACACCCTCCACCGGCTCTCAGCCCTGGCGGGGGTTCTGGGGGACATGGTCTTCAGACCCCCGGTGCCCAAGTCAAGCTGGAGATCAGGTTCCGGAAGCTTTGCATGGCCCTGATTCTGTCCTAAGCCGACCTCACTGAACTGGGGGGTGGGGGTTGGTGGCTAGAGCCCACCCGGAGCCGGCCCAGGGCACGCGGCTGCGCACGGGGCTCAGGGACCGACACACAGTGCACCGAGGCCCTGGGGCTGCCGCCTGGGTGACAGCTCCGCCCCGACGGCGAGGCCAGCACGCTCTCTGCTCTGTCTCAGGTCCCGTCTGCAGAGTGGGACGAGCCCGTCCAGCTCACGGAGGGTGAGTGAGTCTGTGTCCGATCACAGTGACCGCCACTCCTGTGTGCGCAGCTCCCCGAGGTCCCCACTGTCCGCGGCACAGTCCACGCTTCTCGCGACCTGACAGGACTCACCGCACCCTCACCCGGCGTCCCCACCCCGTCTGCCGAGCGCTCCCTGCTGGTCTCCGCCCGAGTCCGTCTCCTTTTCCTTCAGGTCTGGGCTCGGGCGTCACTGCCTCAGGAGGAGCCTCCTGAGCACACGCTGCAGCGGGTCCCCTGCTCGTCCCCGGGGCCTGGTCAGAGCTCGCCACGGGCGCCCCCTCCTCTGGAGCCCCCAGCAGATCGGGACGCCTCGGCCCTCGCTGGCCGTCGGCACCGAGTGCGGGCGTGTTCGGCAGGTGCGGCCGCGTTACCTCGATCTGGGCCGTGTGCTTGGCGTAGAACTCCAGGGCCTCGTCCCCGTCCACCTGGCCCCCGGGCTTCAGCATGCTCTGCAGCTCCTTGTTGTGCCGCGCCAGCTGCAACACAGGGCGGACGGTGGTGTCCCTGCGCCAGGACGCGCTCCCGCCCTCTCGGGGAGCGGCAAGACGGGGTCCTGTACAGCCCAGGCCTCCATCCAGAGGGCGGACACCCTCTCGGTGGCCAAACCCACGAATGGAGGAGCTGAGGGCAGGGCCTAGCGACCTCGGCCCAGCACCGTCACCATTTACATCTAATTCCTGACCTTTGGTGGGGGGGAGGGGGGAGGGGAGTGGGGGAGAGGCGGCAGGAACCAGGCCCTCAGCCCAGGCACGCGGCCACACCTGCGGGGCAGGCACCGGGCCTCCCGAAAGAGGAAGCTCCCCAGAGCCCAGTCACTTGGGAAGAGGATGACGACACGGGTGCCTGGGTGTCGGGCGGAGGTGACCCCCCAGGCAAACAGAGAGAAGGCACAGCACGGCTGGCCCCGGAGGCTCCGGCCATGAAGGCGGCAGCCGGGCGTGAGACGCTCACAGACCCTGACCCTCCTTTCAAGTGTCTCCAGCCCCGTCCTCACCCATCTCCGCGTCCCTGCCCAGCACCACGGCTGCTAGAAGTCGGGGGAGGGGGGAGGGGGGTTTCCAGGGACGTGACCCCAGCACCGTGGGAGGGGAAGCGTCCTGGAACTCAGCACTCGGCCAGGCTGCCCTTCGCGCCCGGGAACCCCCGGCACGGACAGAGCCAGCACAACTGGGTGAAGCCGGGAAGGAGGGAGGGGGCACCTGGGCGAGGGTCCCGGCAGCGAGGGGGGGCCGCACCTGATGAGCTAATATGTAGATGTTGTGGCCCACGTTCCGGGGGGAGGCCGCTCCGTCCTCGCCGTTCTCCTCGTTCTCGCCCTCCTCCGGCTCCTCCTCCCCCTCCCCCTGCAGGTAGGCCTTCTTGATCACCTCCACCTGCAGGGAGGACCCGGGACACGGCTCTGTCAGGGCCCGGGCCTGCCGTCGGCAGCACCCACAGGGCGGCCCCCTCCTCGCCGGCTCAGCACCTTCCTGTGAGGCTTGGACACGCCTCGGACTCCGTCTCCGCGCGGCCACAGGCCGTCCCCCGCTCCCACCGACACGGAGATGCTCGCCTCTGCCCCTGCCCAGACCAGGAGACCCCCGTGTGCTCACGGCCTCTCCTCCAGAAGGGACAATGGCTGCCAAAGTGACTCCCACAGTCAACACGGCACAGACGAGGATAGAGCCAGCCTTCCCCCATCTCCCCGTTTCCTCCAGCCAGTCCCCCCCCCCACCTGTGCCATTTCAGGAAACACAGGAAACCCGGGCCTGTAGGGACAGTGAGGAAGCTGGTTCTCCGACCTCCGTTTCCCGCCCCCACAGCCCATTCACAGGGACCCTCCCAGCACCCCCTGCGTGCGAGCCCCGAGCTGAGTCCCCTGACATCTCAGGGAACGTCGGGCTCACACACGCTGCCCGGCTGTCCACGGAGCCATGTACTCGGGGAAACAGATGCGGAGAGGCCAGGGCTGCGGTATGACCTGGACCCCGTGACCGCGGAACCACACGTGTGGCCCGTCTCAGCTGACAGCTCACTTCCCAGAGGATCCTTGCACCTGCCCTCTGCCCCACCTGCCCCACCTGTCCCACCTGCCCCATGTCCCACCTGCCCCACCTGTCCCACCTGCCCCCTGCCCCACCTGCCTCCTGTCCCACCTGCCTCCTGCCCCATGTCCCACCTGCCCCACCTGCCACCTGCCTCCTGCCCCACCTGCCCCACCTGCCCCACCTGCCTCCTGCCCCACCTTCCCCCTGCCCCAGACAGGGGGCATCTCTCTGGGGCCCAGGCCAGCCCGCGGGGCCCATGCTGTGCCGATACCGGTCAGACAGGTTGCTCACTTTCCCACCCGTTCTCTCTGATACCAAACTGCACAAACAAGCTGCATAGGGTGTGGGGTCCAGAGCACACACGTCCACATGCGTGCACATCCCCCCGCTTGCACACACCCACATGCACACACATGAGCACATACACCCACACCCATACACATGTGCACACCCACCTACACCCACACGCATGTGCACACCCACCCACACACACCCACACACGTTCTGGACATCAGAGCTTCCCTGCTATGTGGGTTTGTTCCAGAAAGCCTGTGACTTGTCCCGCAGCCCGAAGGTTGTCACTCACCCACAAGGGGGCGACCTGGGCACCGGTGGCACCCTAGCCCTGGGCTGTGAGGTCCCCACCAAGATGGGGGGGGGGTGCTCTTGGTTCACGGGAGTGGAAGGGGGTCTCTGCGAGGCACCTGTCCCCACTCGAGAGTGACAACCCCCACCCCCCAGTTGCATAAGCTGTTACATGAGCCAAGGAGGGACACTCCCCGCCCCGAGATGGAAGAGTGTCATTCACAGGAAGACGCGAGGGACGCAGCCCGGCCAGCGTGCACGCGGGCCACCCGCAGGGGAGTCCTGGTGCCTCAGCCAGGCCGTCGGTCACACGTCATCCATGGGAAAAGTCAGAGAGCCCCGAGCTCAGCCAGATCCCATCGGGGCTGCTGGTCTCCCCGGGCCAGCGCCCGCTCCGAGCTGGAGGCACAGCCCACCGTGAGCACCGCCCTCGGCAACACCACCACCACCAAACGCCCGCACCCAGGCCGCTCCTGTCGCCAGACCATCGGCAGCGAGAGGAGCCGTGATCCGAGCTGGGGACAGAGGACGGAGGTGGCCGCGAGGAGGGGAGGAGCGAGGAAGCTGTGGTGCTGCACGGTCCCTCTCGTCTTCAGACGGCGGCCGCGAGGTGCCGTCATCCTCCCCCTCGTTGGGACATGGCCTGAGCTGCCCCCTCACCTGACCTGGCCCCCCAGGAGCCCCCTCCGCGCACAGACCCGGGCCGCTCACCAGCTCCTTGGGCCGCATGTTGTAGAGGATGCGCTCGGCGTTCTCGCTGTCGTGCCTGCTCTCCATGATGGCCAGCAGCAGCTTGGAGGCGTTGTTCTACGGGAGACAGAGGCGGGCATGGGCGGCTGCGCGGGGCCCGAGGCTGTGACAGACGCGTCCCCCAGGGAGTGACGGGCCAGCAGTGAAACAGCACCCGCTCCAGGTAGGCAGCGCGCCCCCTGTGCCCAGACACATCTGCACCGCCGGGTGCGGTCCAAGACACGCATTTGTTTGGGTATCGTTTCTCCTCAGCGTCACCTGGTAAGATTCTAGCGGAAAGTGGACATTTAAACGTGGTGCCCTCCCAGGGACAGGGGTCAGGGGCGGCTGCGGTCCAGCCCCCACGCCTCAGGGCGTGTGGTCACAGAGGTGCCGTCAGCCTCGCCGGCCGGGCAAGGAGCACTGCAGGACAGGCCGGAATAGAGGGGCTCCCTGCTGGTGGGACAGCAGTGGGTCTGCACGGTCAGCAGTGCTGCTGTCAGCCGGCCCCAGGCCCTGCTTGGGAAGCGGAGGACGGCAGCTCCGCCTGCAGCCAGTGCCACGCGGGCTCTGCATCTAGTGCAGAAGCACCGCCTCTCACGTCAGCGTCACCACGGTGACCGGGCCACTCATGGAGGCCACACCACGGCCCCGATCCTAGGCGCCTGCCCTGTGCTCGGCCACTTGCCTTCAGCTCCAGCACCAGGTCCATCCGCTTCTTCCCCAGCGGGTTGATGTCGTTCAGGATCAGGGCCGTGATGATGTCGATGCCGTTGGACTCGTGGGTGGCGATGCAGTTCTGAGGAAACACAGGCACGCACATGCACACACAGGCACAGGCATGCACATGTGCGCACACACACACATGCACGCGCACGCACGTGCTGGTCAGCAGCCAGGGGCCAGCGGGCCGCGCTGCTATTGGACACGGCGCCTGCCACTCGCAGCGCCCCGGGGCGGGCTGCACGTTGTCCATGAGAAAGTGCTAGAAATAAAGGCAGACGCACATCTCTAGTTTCAGAATGAACAGCAAACAGCAGGAAAGTCCCTGCGCTGGAGCCGACGCACGGCCACGTCTAATCCCAGCAGCGCTGGCGCCGCGGCCTTTGTTCTGAAGGGAAAACAGGCGTGTGACTAAGCTGGGTCCCGAGCCCCGCTTTCCCCTCCGAGGGGGTGCCGTCCTCTCTACCCCGCTCCGCGTTCAGGCGGACGTTGACCGAAGGCTTACACGTGGGGAGCAAGCTTCCTGGTTCCCGCACGCAGATGAAAATGAATGACCTGTCCCACGACCACGAGACGCCATCGACAAGCAGTGGCTGCTCTCAAGAAGCTAGCGGTGCCCTGACCGGTTTGGCTCAGTGGATAGAGCGTCGGCCTGCGGACTCAAGGGTCCCCGGTTCGATTCCGGTCAAGGGCATGTACCTTGGCTGTGGGCACATTCCCAGTGGGGAGTGTGCAGGAGGCAGCTGATCGATGTTTCTCTCTCATCGATGTTTCTGGCTCTCTGTCCCTCTCCCTTCCTCTCTGTGGAAAATCAATAAAATATATTGAAAAGGAGGAAAAAGAAAAAAAAAGGGAAAAAGAAGAAGAAGAAAAAAAGAAGCTAGCGGTGCGGTCCAAAAGCCACTTCCCGAGAGGCCAAGGTCAGAGCTGACGGTCCCCCTCTCCTGGGAATGTCAGTGGGGTCAAAGCCTGAACCTCCCGTGTCCCTGCGTGACCTTCAGGCTGCCTCCTGCAGGGCCAGGCGCTCGCTCCAGCTGGGCTCGACCCTTCCGCCACTAAGGCAGTGATG